GATTTGCTTTCAGCTCTCTGCTGCTCCTGCATTATGAAACTTTTTTGGGTATTTTCAGCTGTTGTTTTTGCATTCTTGTGATTATATTCTGTTTTCCCTTATGTGGTGTTCATCTGCGATCTTAATTATCTGCCTCTCATTGCCAACTCCGTGAACTCTGAAGCTAATTTGAGAAGGAAAGTTCTGCCCGGCAATTTTAAAAATATGAGGCATTATTGAGGGTTTTTCCTGGACTGGATTACAATAAATGTGTAGTTTGGAAGCATAGCTTTGGATTCTTCCTGCTCACTTAAAGAGATTGAGAATTGGGTGAAACCTATTCTCATTAAAACTGAATAGATGAATAGGGAAGGGACCACCTTCTCCTCTCCCCACTATGAGTACTTGATTTCCCCAAGTTATGGGTAGAGCTCACAAGAAACCCAGAAGAGCAAGGATGCTGCCTCTGTAATGATATGTATTAGCAGCGTCTTGCTTCTGCAGAAGGTCAGTGGTGGATTTGGAAGTCCGTGAGAGGTTGGGGCTGGGAGTTGCTCCTTCAGTAGTCTTTCCCAAGTGTTCCTCGTTCTCAGACCTGCTGTATGCCGCTTGAGATCTGCATGTGCAGCATGGGTTTTGTTGAAAAAGAAAAGCGTCACAGGTGCAATGCATCTTCACAGAGTAAAATAGCTGCTTTTAGGGGAACAGAAAAGAAAGAAAAAAGTTGGACTGTTTCCCACCGAGGGGACATGGAGAGCAGGAATAGGGCACGTGCGTGCACAGCTCTGCTCCGAGCTTATGTGCTCGCGTGCAGGTCAGCTCCTGTCTGGTATTTTTATCGAAGCATTGATTGATGAAGGTGGTGTTCCGTGTGGGTATCGTGCCACGCTGAAACATTCAGGAGATTTTGGAGCAAATCTTTTATTCAGCCCAAGACGTATTCCAAGCAGATGCTGGCATACCTCCCTGGACCAAGAGGCTGAGCCTGGACAGCCTGAGTGATGCTGTCAAAGTCACTTCTCACAATTCCTTGCATACAGCATTTAGGTTCCAAAATATTGCCTTTGAAAACGGGAGGTAAGGACAGGATTGGTTAAATGTGAAAAAACCACCAGGCATGGGGCTGGGAGAGGAGGAAGGGATTGAAGTACAAATACTACGTGGTGTTTCAGATGAGTAGTCTATAAAACACGGGGTCTCATAGTCTGTTCTGGATACCTTTTTGGTGTGGTTTCTTTCTGTTTGGTTTTTTTGCTTTGCTTTTTTTTTTTTTTTTTTTTACCCAGAGGAAAACAATATTAAAAAATAGAGTACAGAAGAGTAGTATTATCTGAAGACCTGATAAGTTGAATAGTCATAAATAGGCCAAATGTGGGAAACTGGGTGGTCTAAGCTAAAACTGCCACCAAAGGGAAGAAAGACTTCCCGTGTTTAGGAGAATATAATACGCGAGCAATGAAAAGATCTAGGGAGATGATGGAGGAATGCACTTAAGAGAAAAGGATGAAATTACGTGCAAGAAAAATGTGGATAGTATCAAGAGAGGTTTTTTGGGAGAAGTTTTTTCATTGGAGGAGCCTCTCATGAGAGAGTCCCTAATTCTTGGGGCAGTCAAAAAAGGCTCAAGAAAGAAAATACAGGGAACAGTGCATTGGGAGGGAGATGGTTTTGGTCAAATTGGCAGGTCTCTAGGCCATAAATTTTAGGGAAACTGTTAAAATGTGAATATGGTCTACATTTTTTTGGGGAATGGTTTCAAAGGTCTTTGCTGTTCCTTCTCTTCTACTACAGGTAAAGCCATTTATTGGGTTGGAACAAGGAGGACGTGGCATCCAAAACCTTCTAAGCACCCTGTGAGGCTGAAAGGGCTTCCCTCCAAGGTTGAGAGGCAGGCTTATAGTGAATCCTTCATACGATATCTCCAGCCCAGCTCAGATCACTCTTGCCTCTTGTGTCTGTGGAAGACATTTTTTCCTCTGAAAGTGCAATCCAAAATAGTTTAATTTTCAGAGAATATTATGAAGTTGGTCCAGATGCTTCATCTTCCTCAAAAGCCATCAGTAAAATAGGGATAGAAAACTGGCTTGTCCCCAGTGGCGAAGGAACTGAGTGATGGGGTGTTGGGGGTTTTGGCTCTCGGCCATGGGGATGCGTGCTTCCCGCTGCCCTGTCCCCCACAACCTCGTGACTTCTGCCTCTCCCAGCACTTGGTGACCACCACCATCCTCTGGGTGCTCCTGAGGAGCTGAGGGGAAAGTGGTCACATCAAATGGAGAGGCTTTTTAATGAGGTGAACGGCTACAGGATGAGGCCTGTGGTGTCGCAGGGTGATGGGAGGATGGGCAGAGCTGTGCTGGAAGTGGAGCCGCATGTGGGATGACTTCTTGGCCTTTCTTTCCTGAAGAAATGCATGGTGAGGGTGGGGTGAGCAGGAACGATCTGTTCTCGGAGCTCAGTTGGAGGGATGAGGGAAAGTGATTTCAGCTGAACTTAATTGCTGTGGCGTAGTCTTAGCAGAAATCTTCAAAATCTGGTATTAAAAGGACTGATTGGTTTCAGACCGGCCTCCTGCTCCTGATGAACTGCTTTCCAAGTTTCCAGTAAGTCCTTGAGGTCACCACAAAATCTTGCCTGCGTAGCTTGGGGAGATGGAGCTTATGCGTGTTCAGTAACGGGGAATTAATTACCCACTGACTTCCATGTGATGTTGCATAAAGCTAAACGCAGTGGCTGGCGTGAGCGACTAACTGCCATGGCAGCTGTGCTGGCGGTTGTGGCTGAACCTCTGTGTGCTCTTGCCTTTGATGGTGCCATACATTAATTTATTAAAGAAATGGGGAAAAAAACACCCTCAGTTTTGAATTTGCACCACAAATTCATTGGTAGCAGTGGGCTGCGCTAAGTTAGTAAGTAGCTTCACTCAAACATTTCAGTGATGCTACCAGAGATGAGTTGTCTCATGGTCAGGATGGAGATGATCAGGGTTTTTTGTGCCACTTGTGTCGGTTTTGAGAGGTGAGGCACAGCAGGATTTAACAAATATCTTAAGTCCGGTCCAGTCAGTGGCAGGGTGGGAACAGCCTGTTCTGTCTTGGTTCTCCTGCGGCACTGCCAAAATTGAGAGGAGATGGGTGACACCAGCATCCTGAGAAGCACCGGCTCCCAGGCCTGGGAGAGGACCTCGAAGGGAGGTCAGAGATCCCTGCTTGTAGGTCCTCCGAAGGGGGCTAGCGCTTAGCTTGATAAAAATTGTAATAATCCTCCCTGTTCTGGGTCTAAGCTGTAGATCACTGATTTCTGGCTCATGACCCTTCCCTTTCCAGGGGGAAACGGGTTTTGAGAGCATTGAGAAGACATATGACATGGAAATGCTGGTTCCCAGATAGTTTCTGTTTCTGAAAAGCTTTCTTAAGATGTCAGATTACTTGTAGGTTCAAGCTGATGCAGGATTGCAGGAGAAAGACTTGGATTTATACCTGATCCCGGTTTGTCCCTTGCTGGGACCATTGGCACCACTGATGGATGGATGGACGTGCCTGGCATGGATCAGGAGCTGCCCATCCTGTGCACGCCTGATATTCAGCTAGGATAAAAAGTATAATTCAGAGACAAAATCCATGGTATAAATCTGTGTAATCTTTGCAGTGCATGTGCATGGTCGCAAGAAGGTTTTTTTGATGAATTTTAGCACTGTTGGGAAGGGCAGTACCGGGTGGGAATGCTCCTGGGCACATCAGTAAGGCTAAATTTTTGTTTAAGCCTTGAGCTCCAGCTTGTAGAAGACAAGGAGCAAGTCGTGCTACAGCTCCTCAGGGGCTCATTGCAGACATTTCGTAAGAACCCCTTTAGTCGAGGGCATCCTAAGGCAGCCTGGTGGTATAATGCCATAGTAGCTGGAGAATCATTAAATCAGCACCAGGTTTTTCTTTTAATTAATTTATTTTTTTGTAGTAGAGAAGGCTGATGGCTGGTGCCTTGCTCAGGTGAGACCTGTTCTTCTGCGTTGTTTGTTTTGTGAATTCCAAATGAGATTTTTTTTTTTTTTTTTTTGGCTTGGAACAGTTCAAAGCAAGACCTTGTCCCTTCTCTGAAGTGTTTATAATCCAATTTCAGACATAAAACAGCCCGGGCGTGGAGGAGGGAGGAACAGGCAGGGATAAAACGGCAAGGTTTTACATAGCCTAGGGGACTGGGGCGGTAGGCGGACGTCTGAATGCCTCAGCGGGTCGATGGCATTTGAGGATCCTCATGAGTTTTTTGCCTGGGTGGGGATGCTCAGATGTAGCCTGGCTTGGTAAAACAAGCCACCTACGGAAGAAGCCCCCAGAAGAGCAGTTCAGGTCCCCGCCGCAGCGCCCGGCGTGGGTGGGCAATGCCTGTGGAGAGGAGCTCGGGTGTTCGGCTTTTGGGACTAACGGGCTCTCCTCTGGAGGCTCAGACCCACAGTAATGCTGGGAGAAAATGAGCTCAAAAACCTATTTTATTTTTCCCAATTGTATAGACCAGTCTCATAAATTGCTATAACCCACACAAGCACATTTTTCCTAAATTCCCTGATGTTTGTGGCTTTGCATCACTGCACCCAAGAATCAGTGGAAGAATTTCTGGCATTGTTTGTCCCCTCTTTCTTTTTGCTAACACTAGAAATTGGTTGTTTCACTGCCCCCACGGTTAAGTAAATCTGATATTTGTCCATGTTGTGGTCCGGTAAAGAAGCTGGTTGCATGCCTCCATATACCACATCTGCACGGTGATACTGGAAAACGGGTACAGAAGAGTTAATCAGATACTCTTATACCTGAACAGCTGATTTTTTGGCTTGGTGTTTAGAGAAAAACTCTTTGTCATCTGATGTTTGGATTGAATTTTGCAGGAAAGCGTTGCACAGATACGCTGGAGGAATATGAGGTTTGCATCTTAAACGCAGTATATTGCAAGTTGACGGTAAACGCAGGGTATTGCAAGTTAACGGTTAATGCAAACCGTTATAATTACTTGAATTAATCTCTTCTGTTTTCCAGGGCGCCCGAGAAACCTTTGAGAACTACTACAGGAAGCAGAGAAGAAAACAAGCCAGATTGGTCCTCCAGCCTCCTTCAAACATGGTACGATGGTCCCCTACTCGCAGTGCCCAAACTTGCTCTGCCGAATAAAGGAGCGGAGGGTTATCTCTGGGCATGTTGTTGCCGGTGGGTGGTGTCTAATTCATTTCCAGTTGCTCTTGGTCACCATTGTTTTAATCTTTGCTCGCTTTTTCTTTGTTGCAGCATGAAACTTTAGATGGCTACAGGAAGTATTTTAATCAAATTGTAGGGTAGGTATTCTTTTTTATATGCATCCTCGCTAAATATGTGTGCGCTGTGCTGTTGAGGAGCCCAAAAAGAAAGAGCGAGGAGGGAATGGTGATCTTTTTGAGGGCCCTTTAAAGGGAGCCAAAACAGGAAAAAAAAAAAGGTGGTTTGGGCTTTTTACGTGTTTTAGAGTGTATTTTATAGCACCCATGAACTCTGCTGTGTCACTAGTGGGAGCATGGAGGAATCTGCCAGCTCATGTACAAGCGAGCACATTTCTGGGAATTTGAGGATAAATAATCTCTGTGGACTATGTGGATCTACTTGCCCCACTAATGAGATGAATAGGCCTTAATTATTCTTTAATATTTGATAATTATTCTTTGGTTATTTTCCTGGTAAAGGAGGTGATTCTCAAGCCTCTATTCCTATGAGCTTCTTATTGCACTCAAATTTGACAAGAGTCTTCCAAAAGCAGCCGAGCTCTAAGAGAAGGCAACCTAAGACCACTAATCTAGCAAAGATAGGGTACAATATTGAAATTTCTTCAGCTAACGATAATACTTTCAACATCTAATTGCAACCATCACAAAGGCAATATGTGCTGCTGCTCACCTTCTCACGCAGCTCCGTGCTCCTGGGCTGAATTTCCCTGACAAAACACAGCTGAGATTTTGTGCGTTGCTGGTTTAAAATGTACAGTGCCACGCTCGCGCCCCGAAAAATACAGTTTCTTTTTGGCCAGCGTGTTTGATAACTGGGGATTGGAGTGAACTGACTGCCTTTAAATGGTTGTGAGCGTGTGGCGTATCCGGGTGCAAGAGAGTATTTTTCTCTGCAGTTACAGCATTTTTCCCTGCAGTTTAAGTATTTTCCCCTGCAGTTAACCAGTTGTAATACGATTGCTGCTGGCTGGAGCAGAGTTTAATCAGCGGTTCTTGTCCAAATAACAGGGTGGAGAACTTAGAGAGGGGAAATTCTGCCTTTGTGTATACATAGAGCGGTATTACTAGGAGCAACTGTGTTTTAGCTCACTTCTGTAATACAGTGAAACATCATATAAAATACTGCGATGTTAAAAATAGGTGAATAAAGTGTTTAGCGTTGGCTATGTTTGATACAGATACTACTGCAAATCTGAGCTTGCTCTGGAGATTTGTGGATGTGCAAATGCCGCGTATCCCTCGCATGCGGTGTTTGCAGATCTCTTTTGATGTCTCGAAACCTGTAACTTTTGATAATAGTGCCATTTTCTCCCCTCCGTTAGGTTTTTTGTAGTTGAAGATCACATCTTGCATACAACGCAGGGCTTGGTAAATAGAGCCTATATTGATGAGCTGTGGGAGATGGCGTTATCAAAAACTATTGCAGCACTAAGAACACATTCAGTAAGTAAAAGCCCCGGATCACTCAGCTGTTGCTTGAGTATGACTTGACATGCTGGAAATACTGGCTTTTACAGTAGTAGTCTTTGTTTTGCCTCTTTTCCAATGACCCTTTGTAAAACAATAACATGAAAATACACTGCTATTTCCCCAAAAGCTTTCTCCAGCTTTTTTTGCCTCTTGATGCACTGCATTCCCCTGTATCAAACTCTCAATATTTTGGGGGACTAGGAAGAAGAAAATAGTGGTTTGATGTTTTTCCTGTTACTTCGCTGATCACTTTTGAGGAGCACCAGCAGAGGGAGTCGGTTTGTCCCGGAAAACGGGGAAAAAAGCATCTACTTGGCACCCTAAAGTGTGACCCTGTTTGAAATTCCCTTAAAGTTCATGGCAGTGAATGGGCTGCTATCAAACTGCAAATCATTTGTGCATAAAAAGACACTAAATAGACTTCTTATTCTTTAATACTGAAAGAAGTTTGGAAAAATTGTTTGTTGCTTTGGTATTTCTCTACTTGAGCAAAAAAAACCAAAGCCAATTGCAAAAAACGTACAATTTTCTTCCAGTTTTGCGTGACCTGATATAATGTTGTACTGGTTCAGCTGGGAGCACTGGAGTTTTCTGAAAACCCCGTTGGTTTATGGGATGACAAAATTGGATTTGACCATAACAGAAAAAGCATTAATGACTTTCTGCAAGTCCGTTTTCAAGTTGTTGGGCCATTTTCTCCAGGGAAAACAAAGTATTAAATCACTGAAATCCCCCTGCTGCTCGGGGACGGCAGTGCCGTCCGAGAGCACGAGGATGCTGCTGGCTCACGTCAGTGCAGGCCTGCATCTAACGTGATGTAACAGGCACGTGGTGGTACCCAAGTGATAACGGTGTCACTGCTCTTCGCTGAGAAAAGCCTAACGTTTCTGCCTGGAGACGCAGTATGCTGCTTCCTCCAAACCACACTGAGTTTTGCATTTACGTGCCCCTGACTTTAGCTTAGCGTGGTTGCCCATGGGCCGTGTTGCCGAAGAGCTGCTTGGCTTTACCTGTGTGGGTGGGGATAATCCAGGTGATGGACCTGGAGCTCGTTGGGATGAGGGACCGCAGAGGCTTCCCGGGGCGCTCTGGCTCCGTCCGGCACGGCAGTTGTGTTGACTAGAAAGCTGCCTTCTTCCACTTAAGCTTCTGTGTTACGAAAAGAGATAAACACAGAGATGTACACCCCGCTGGGTTGTAAACCTGTGTTTATTTTCTTTTTAAGTGGGGTTTTCTGCTAGGTGAAAGCCGTGAGAGTAAGCCAGGTACAAACACGGTGTTTTTCAATTTTACCAGCTTTGTTGCCATGACAAGTTGTTTTAAGTGATGCCAAACTTAATGCACGAAGTGGCTGCCGGGCAGGGATTTTTTTTCAGTAATCATGAAATGTTAGATGATTTCTCAACGCTAGTATTGTGGTCATCACCGTCACCTCTATGCGCTGCTCAGTCTACAGCTCCCATATAGACCGGTGCCGTCTATCTCATATTGCCGTTGAGACTTGATGGAGGGCTCTCACATCAGTGAGGCTGTTTCGGTTCTTCCCCTTCAGCCAAACTTACGCCTGGATTTTCTTCCTTGCTGCAGACAGGGCCATCTTTTATCACTTCTGATAGCTTTAGGGCATTATCTTTCTTTCTGACTTTCTTTTTTGGACAGTGAAATGGAAAATGTGTCTCTTCCAGTCTTTCACATTGATTAATGGAGTCATTCCTCCTTGAGTTTCCAGTGAGCTTTAAATCTGTTTCTCCTTCCAGCTTATGATCACTGATTCTATATTTGGTAAGAGTCTGTCTGAAACTCTACATATTTCAGCACAGGGAGGTTGTCTGCTGTGTCCAGAGAGCACACGAAGCCTGTGGGTAACGCGGGGTGGCTCTGGGGGGACGATCAGCGCTGTCACTGGGCTGAGTTGTGTCTTCAGGGTTTCAAGCAGTATCCTGACCCGTAATAAGTACTTGTATTGTAGCTCTGGCCATTAATGTTGCTGAAATATAGTCATGCAGCATGTTTTTTCTCAGCCGGAACCACTTAGCAATGCAGCCTTCGCACGGGGCTCGGGGATGCCTTGCTGCGATGCTTCATTACAGTCAGGCGCAACACACTAAATATTAAATGAGAGGCGCTGCTGTCGTCTTGGTATGACAGCGCGCTGATTTGCTTCATCCCCTCTCGCTTCCCCAGCAGCTCCTGGGTAATCTTAGAGACACTTCAGGTATCTCTAGAGCTACCGAAATCCTTATTCATCATGGAGAGCCTCAAGAGCAGCGCGTTACGAGGAGAGATACCCTTATCAGCGTGCCTTCCCTCGCCCTGTACAACGTTAGGGCATGGACTGTAGGATAAAAGCTGCTGATCATAAGACTGTATGGCATGCCTATGTATTTATTATCACTCAAGTGATAACGCAGGAGGGCTGAGAGCAATATTTTTCCCGCGTGCTGCAGTTAAAACCATGTTTTAATTTCTTCTCTTCTTTGCAGTCCTACTGCTCGGACCCGAGCCTTGTGTTAGACTTGAAGAACCTCATTGTCCTCTTTGCAGATACACTCCAGGTATGTGGCTGTTGGCGACCGCTCTTTATCTTGCTCAACAGTTGTGCTGCTCTCAGATCGTGTCCGTCAGCAGGCTTAAATGGCTGATGTGGGCTTGCTGTGGTGTCCCAGCTTCTTTTTTAGCATTGTGGTACGTGAATTGTGGTGCCCGATGGACAGCCTGGTTCGCTCTGCATGTGGGGTGGCCAGCCTGTGGGCAAGGACCAAGCCTTGGCCACCTTGCCAAGCCCTTGTGCCTCCTGCCCACACCCAGCCCAGCCTTTAATAGCCCTTGGTCCTACCACCTTGGTAAAACACCACCTAAATCCCTCCACCAGCACCGTTCACCTCTGTGGTGGTGGTAGGGGAGAATTTGCCCGTGCGCTCCCTATTAAATAGAGAAAATAATCTTCAGCTGCCTGTTGGTGACTTTTTCTTATCTGAAGTTGCTCTCTTCCCCCACGCCACTGCAGGGATACGGCTTCCCGGTGAACCAGCTCTTTGACATGCTGTTGGAGATCCAAGACCAGTATAGTGAAACCCTGCTGAAGAAATGGTCAGGAGTTTTCAGGTAAGAAGCTCTTTAAGCAAGCTCATGAGATGTACCTTACAGAGTAGTTTTGGCCCATAAATAAAATCTTTTGAGAGATTAGTAGCAAGCTCATGTTTAAATTTTGGGCAACAGTAAGCTTCAGCCTGAGCTTTTCTTGGACCAGGGAGAGCCAATTTAAATACAGTTGTGAGGATCCTGTGTGTGGTGAGATCTGTGCAATAAATTGGTGTAGACCAGAGGTTTTACATCCCAGAGGGATAAAGTTATGGTTTCATTATGGAGCTCGCTTTGACAGTCGATGGGTGGAAGGATGCAAAAATCCGGTGTTGCAGTAGCGTTGCTGTGCCCTCGCTCCAGCACTGAGCCACGTGTGTCTCAGGACATCGGTGGCATATCCCGGTGCTGCTGCTGTAAGCAAGTCCGTGAGCTGAGCAGTTGCCCACAGGTAGGGCACGATATATTATCCAGGGTCCCATGCTGTGCTTGGGAGCCACCAGCTCATCCTGTGATGGTGCTCCAGGACATCCCAGGAGGATTGAAGTGTCTCAGAGCATTGGGAAGAGGTGCTGGAGGATTGTCAATGCCCTGGTAGCTCAGCCTCCATCTTCCTCGAGTCAGGCAGGACTGAAGCTCACTTGGGCTTTATCAGGGCCAGCTGCTGAAGCTCCAGTCTGGACTAAAAGCACTGCTAAACTCTGGTCGTGGCTTTACGCACAATGAAGGCTGGAAGCTGGGAGAGATCCTTGTGTCTGGCTGCAGCAAAGATGATTTCAACAGTTGCAAACACGGGAAGAAGTTTAGGCCCATGGGGTCATATCTTTGACTGGCACCTACTTCTTAAGAGCTTCCTAACTGAGCAGTAAATCTGCAAAGTTGTGGTTGGTCTGTCGTCACAGAGCTGTCTTTCTAACTTTTCTTTTCTTTTCATAGAAATATACTTGATTCAGATAACTACAGTCCCATCCCAGTGACAAATGAAGAAGTTTATAAGAAAATAGTTGGACAGTTCCCGTTCCAGGATGCAGAACTTGAAAAGGTAATCTTGAAATGGGGAAAGTGGCGCGGCGTGTCTGCTGGTGCAGGAAAACCCGCACCCTTGTTAGTGGCGTTGAGAACTGCAAATGAAAGCATGAAAAAAACCAACCAACCCAAACCTCCAAACCAAATAAGCAACAACAAAAAAACCCAAAACTAGGGAAAAGAACAAATATACTTTCCATGTGATGCACTTCTGGCGTGGATGAGGAAAGTGCGTATAGCAATACCTCATCCATTTTGTTTTCAGATCACAGTGTACTACCGCAGCTGAACAGTGCTTGCAGTAGACAAGAGACTAGAAATATCTGCTTCCATTGGTATTTTATTCCCATTTTATGGACCGTGTTATTGAACTTTATTTGTTTTAATCTCATATTTAAAAAAAAAAAAAAAAGCCCAACAAAGTGGTATATCTTGGCTTTTGTAGAAGTGTGTGCTTGCAAAACCTAAGTGTAGCCAAATTTGACCTAACCAGTGTCCCTTAAAAGCCTGCTTGGCCTTCTGCTCCACGTCTGGCAGCCAGAGCTGCAAGCCTGGTGAACTTAATTAGGACTAGGAGGCGTTTTGATCCAAGTGTTTAGATTTCAGAAAGTCTGCATCCTTCCCCAAAAGTGTATCATGGGGTCCAGTTTCTTACTATTATGCTCTGCACCTCCCAGCCGTGAGTGTGCTGTGGGTAAAAGCTGGTTGGAAAAATCTGGTAGAGGACATCTGTTTCCTCTTGGCTTTTGGTGTTGTAAGCAAGTGCTCACCTTGGGCAGCAACTGCGGGAGGTGACCGAGCAAAACGCCTTGTGCATGGTGGGAGATAAAAGTCAAGGAGTTCTCCGACGGGTTTTTTTCATATGAGTTAGGGAGTTGGGAGAGGGAATGAGGGTCGTGTTGTGCTGCCTGCTCCCTCCTAGCTGCAAGTTTCCTTCCAGCCCGTTTCAGACTCCAAATCCCTTATGCACCCGTGTGCCATTTGTAAGTGATTATCTGGTCTTTCACTTGGCTGAAATGTTTATATAATATACAATAAATGCTGGCTTGTTGTTTCATTGCTGGACTTAGCTAAACACTAGAATTAATTTGACTGCTTGGAACATGTTGTTGGAAAGTGGTCGTCACTCCTGTTAAATATCTGCTCTTCGACTTGAATTCTCTCCTGTATTTTACAGCAGCCGTTTCCAAAGAAGTTCCCCTTTTCTGAGTTTGTGCCTAAAGTTTACAATCAGATTAAGGAATTCATTTACGCCTGTCTGAAGTTTTCAGAAGACCTTCATCTGAGGTAGGGGATGAGTGTGCTAATAGTTGTAATACGGAGGTTTTGTCTGCACTGAAAGATCTCAGCGGGATTAAAATATGAATTCTCTTCCTCAACCCTTCGTGCTGCTCAACTGCTTGGATATACCCTGTCCAGACTGGAAGCGGCTGGTAGACTCCTTGGGTCGGTAGCATGCTTCGTGTACAAAGGGCTGGCCAAGTCTTCAAAAATAGCTGCCTCATGTAGGGAAAGATAGCCCAGAACCATGCTAGCTGTATAAAAAATGAGGGGGCTGTTGCCTCTGAGATGTTTCTGAGTCAGTCGTACTAAACAGATGAATCTGGTTGTCTTGAGAAAGATAGTGATGTCCACTCATCAGCGGGTCAGTGCCTGGTATAACATCTACAACCTCCACGTGGCCTCCCCGGACTGTCCCTCAAGGAGCGCGTTGGCAGGAAAATTTTTGAGGTTTTGATTTGCCCTGTGTGTTAATGAGTTTCAGCTGCTGGTTTAGGGGTTTTGTTTTTCTTGTTTCCCATGGGAGTTTATATACAAATAATCTGATTTTTGGGTTTTTTTTTTTTTAAAGCCTCCAAAATATTCCATGTGTTTACCCTCCCTTCTCCATCCCAAGGTGCCTTGATGCTCATTTTTCCTGTGTGTGTGTGTGTGAGACTGGAAAACAACTGTTTTAGCCAGAAACTGCAAGTTGGTGCTTTCTTTTTGCACCCAGTAATGTCTTCAACTTGGTAGAGGTATATAAATGAATAACAAGATTTTTACTTGAAGGAGGGATTCTTCTTCCCCTCTGACCGTTTGCAGCACCGTACTAACAAGAGGTTGGACTCGGGGGCGCGGGGGGAGGTTTCACCTCCCTTGGCAGCTTCATGTCCTGGCCAAGGCCTGACACTGGACATTGCCCCAGTGCTGATGTGAAGCTAGGGCAGTGTTTTGGGGACTCACCAGATGTTTCAGTGCCTACACAAGGCCCTTCAGGGTTTTAATTCTCTTCCTTTGTGATAGTAATTTGGAGAGGCACTTTCTCCCCATCTTCTTCTACAGGACATGGTCGCTCATCGGTTGATGTGGAAGCACAGGACGTTTCTCACCCCACGTTTAATCTCAACCTTTCACTGGTGGCAGGTTGTTCTCTTTGTGGCTCCCAGGGCTCTTAACCTGTGGGTCACCATTAAACATCTCAGTTTCTAAAGCCGGCAGAATGGTCCGATTTCACACGGATGCTGGTTTCACCGAACCCCACCGTTGGCACTTCCCTTGCGAGTTTTGTGCTCTTTGCCATTACGGAGATGATTGGGTTTGTCAGTGAAGGGAAGAAAAGTGTCCCCTTGGGTCCCTCCTCAGGGGTCCCCCCGGACACGTTATTAAAATTCCTTTCGACATTGGATTTTCCAACCCTTTTTGAGGAGCAGTGTTGGGCTGGGGGAAGGGAGCCGAGCTCTTGGCTTTTCTAGCCAAACATTTGGAATATTTCTCTGAAAACCCCTGTTGACACTTTCTTCATTTCACCCTGACAGCTTGAATTAGGTTTTATTAGGAAGCTTGGCTACAAAGCCGGCAGCAAGTTTTCTTTCTCTTCTCTTTCTTTTTCTCCTTTGGTTGTCATTTACCTTGCACCCTGGAGTGACTGGGGTCAGCCCGTCAGTCACGGGAGGCCTGAAGGTCATGACTACTGCTATGGGATATGGGACATCAGCTGTCATTAACCCAGACAGTTCGCTTAAATACTCTGCGGTCTTTTCCTGAGGAACAGAGCCTGTGGCAGAAAATGTAGCGTGTATTTTTTCTATTTTTTTTTTTTAAACTAGCTCCTTGTATTTGTTGGACGGGAACATTCTCCTTTATGTTGATATGCTTGTGAAAGTTATTTTGCTTTTCAAGTATTTGAAGAAAATGTGGAGCTTACTGTGCATTTATAGGGGTTGCAAATTTTTTTGGTTTGGCTCTATTAATTTGATTAGGAGAAAGAAAACCTCCTTTATGTTTTCAGCAGTTCTGCCTTTGTTAAAAAGCGTTTATTTGAGCTCATCGAGGAGATGTCTTTAAAAGTATCCACTCATTGGAAGGCTTCCGCCGGTTCCAGTGGAATTTCCCATTTTAAAGATAGGGAATATCTTTGGAAAATAGTGGGTGGAAAGATGAGATGTCAGCTCTAATCTACCAGGACTTTGATTGTTTGGTTTTGGGTTTTTTTTTTTTTCCAAACAAAGCACCAATCCTGAAAGCACTTGGAATACAATTTTTAAAGTGCTGAAAATAATATAAGTACATGAAGTTATTAAAAAAAAAAAAAAAAAAAAAAAATCAGAGGCTTGAATACCTAAATCAGGTTGGACCTTTGGAAGCCCACTTCAGGAGAGAGGAGGTAAATGTAGTTTCTTTGACAGCTCATATTACTGCTTCTGTGTTACTAGTGGTCTGTGGTTGCAGACCAGGCCTGGTAACAAAGTTAGTAGATCAAATTGACATCAGACATATGTAGCGAGCAGACGCACACAAAAAATACTGTTAATTTGGGGGTTTTGTTTTCTTCTTGCATATCGAGAACGGAGATCCGACCTTTCTGTTGAACCAAGACCCAACCTCTACTTCACAGTCAAGAGCTGGCATCATACAACTGACTGGTACCATTACTCTCTGCTAACTGGCCCCACTGGTCTGGGCGCTGGGTCTGGGCTGTTGATGTGAGCTACTACTTGGTTCATCATTTCAGCTGGGAGAGTCCTGGGCAAGGCAACGGCTAACACCCATCGCTCCTGTCGCCACCCTCACTTACCTCTTCTGTTGAACCAAGGAAGATTTAGAATCATAGAATCATAGAATCGTTAAGGTTGGAAAAGACCTCTAAGATCATCGAGTCCAACCGTCGACCCAACACCCCCATGCCCACTAAACATGTCCCTAAGCGCCGCATCTACACGTCTTTTAAATACCTCCAGGGATGGTGACTCCACCACTTCCCTGGGCAGCCTCTTCCAATGTTTAACCACTCTTCCAGTAAATAAATTTTTCCTCATGTCCAATCTAAACCTCCTCTGGTGCAATTTGAGGCCGTTTCCTCTCGTCCTATCGCTTGTTAGTTGGGAGAAGAGACCGACCTCACCTCGCTACAACCTCCTTTCAGGTGGTTGTAGGGAGCGATGAGGTCTCCCCTCAGCCTCCTTTTCTCCAGGCTAAACAACCCCAAATTTGGGTGATTGCAGTCCAGTGCCTGGTCAAATCCTGCTGCTCTTTTTTTTCCCCTCCCCAAGGAATGCTTCCATTTTTTTTCCTTACACAGTGTGTGGACCTCATGGGAGATGTCGCAGATCCTTCTGCTCTGGTGGAACCCAACCGCAGGGGTTACCAAGCTGCTTGACCCACCGTGTAACTAAAGTTACAACCTGATTTTCTAGCTTATGCAGCCAACAAACAAGATGAGAATAGGAAACCTTTGGAAATGGTGCTGGTATGCAGAGAAAGCTCAGTTAGAAGTGCTTTGAAGAAGTAAAAGCAGCATGGAAGTGCTAAGCAGTATTATTAAGCACTACTTGTTTATGCCCTGGAGGCTATCATGGTTGAGATGTTCCTGCAGCTGAAGTGAGCGATTAAAGCAAACCCTCAATTTGCAAAGCGTTTGGTGATATGGCAACCTCGTGCCGTCAGCACTGGCTGCGGCATCGGGCAGAGGCCAGCAGCAATCCCGCTCCTGCCAAGAGCATGACTGTCTCGGGGCGTACACGCAGCCAGACAGTAACTGGCTTGTTTAATTTCGACGCCCTGATGACAGGTTGACGTTTGAATTAAAAAAAGCAAGCTTTTCCAGCACGACCTATTTGATTGCTGTGTTGGTTTAGTGAGAAAAGCTGACATAATGTCCAAAAGCCCTTGTTTTGCATCTGCGTTTTCTCAGTTCCAGTAGATGCTGGAAGTTCCAGCCACCAGCTCCTCTTCCGGCCTCGGCCGTTCTGCACCTCTGCCATCCTTAGGGACGGGCATTTTTGGGTTTCCCAGGGAAAATCCCGAAAGGGCCACAGTGCTTGTACGAAGGCACAGCACTGCGTATCTTTGCTTGCTGTGCAATTTTTTCTTGACCCCCTCTGAGCGTGGGTCCAGCCCTTTTTGCTCCCCAGCCCCCTCCCCTGGTTCCCACGCCGCTCCGGCAGCAGCAGGCAGCTGCCCCCCGTGTCACAGGGTTCCTTTGTACCACCCCTTCCTTTAAATCTCCTTTTTACCATCTGTAGATCGTCACAGGGTTAGATTTTGTTGTACTTGCTATATTTAACCGTGCTGTTGTCTGGTGGAGGGGACTGGGGACAATCTGGTTCTTCCTGGGGGATGATGGAGGGCCTGGGGGGGGGTGTGCATGCATGCGTGGCGAATTTTGTGTTTCTTTTTGTTTATCTTTAAGTAAAACCTTATTTGAGTGCCCTACCCGTAGTATAAAGACCAGGAAAATTCATTGGCTGGTTTCTTCTCCCCCCACATTTTGATTTCTGTTCCACGCTTTAAAAAACCCAAATGCATCACCTTGGACCACACATCAAAACCCTGCGAGAAGGAGCCAAGGGGTCCATCTGGGACGTGGAGTGGTCTAGCCCTGATCATCGCTGGCACAGGGTGTGCTTCCCCGCTGAGCAGGAGGAAAATAAACTCACAGGGATCAGCGATGATGCTCTATAAGAGACCCACACTAAGACTTTGGCTGATGACATTGAATTTAAATTCAATGCCGAGCTGCTGGCCCCGCTCCGCTTGTGTCCAGCTGGGAAGAAGACAGTGGTCAACCCTTGGCAGGCGTGTAGCTCAGAAAAGCAGAATTCTAAACATCAGGGGAAAGGAAATATTAGAGAAACCTGTTGGGGAGCGTAGCGTGGCGAGCAGCCGCTGGGCGTGCGGGGAGTTGTGCAGCTGGGCTTTTCCTTCGGAAAGCTGCAGCAAGACACGGCTTTCTCGGTCTCACGGAAATACGAGCATGACTTTGCTGAGAGATGCGAGCAGGGAGCAATATTTGCCACTTCTCCTGGGAATTTGGGGGATTTCAGTGCAATTCTGATGCAGTAGCACAAAGAAGGTCCTGAATGACTTGAAAAATTTAGTTGACTGAAGGATGCGCGGTGCTTGGGGAGGATGAGCCGGTTCAGGGGATGCTGCTGTGACCACAGGTTGCTGCTGGAGAAGACTCAGTCTTGCTTTCCCAAGCTGATGGACCGGGGCTTGGCTCAGTGCATCTGCTCTAACTTTAAATAGACACAGAAATTTGGGACATGTGAGCTGGACAAGGGCTGGCAGCACCCGTCCCTGCACCAGCAGGCACCCCAATAGCAGCACCCTGAGATCCCCCACCTTGCATGCCGGCGGCGGGGTAACTGCAAGGTTTGCTTTTGCTTCTCGTGTCCATCCCTGCTTTGTAATCTGGCCCATTCATCAGGTAGAACAGGAGAAGGAGCAAAAGGTCACGGGCTTGATTTACCGGGAGCCTTAAAGTTATTAAGGCTTCTCAGCCTTCCAGTAGAACATTTTCTTTGCCCTCAGCTGCTTGTCACTGCGCTGCCAGAGATAAAGCCTCGTGGTGTCAGGGCTAATGCAGGGCCAACGATAGACCAAAGAAGCCTGTGTCGGGGTGGGTTTCCAAAACCTCCTTCAGAAAGGAGAGGTTGCACCTTGCTGGTGTGCCCGTTGGAAGGGCAGCAGCACTTCAGCAGAAAGCCCAACCCCCAGACTTCAGCAATGCTGCAGTTGCAAGCATCTGGCAAAGGGCATGAACATGTTGCAAGAGCTTCCAGTCTGATTTAGTTAAAGAAAAAGCCGTGAGAAGGTGGTGATGGGGGGGTATTTTGGGGGTTTGGTTTGTTTTTTTCCCCCCGTTGCAGATCTTTGATCCCTTCCGCCTTGTGTACTGAACGTGCAAAACTCCAGCGTTGTGTGCAGGGCGGTGGCTTGGCTGCACGGGTTAGTGCTGACGCTGCGGGCAGCTCTTACCTGTGCTGGACCAGCCCCTCTAAGAGGAGAGGCTCAGGGATGTAGGTTTAGCATGCGTTAGTCCCCCTTCCTTACCGACACATGCACAAAAAGGCCTAAATTCTTGGTATTTTGGTATATATTAGTGTGTCAGCGCCTGTAAGTGATGCACGGATGATCATGCATAAGGCAGAAGAGGGTTGGGAAGGAGACTGGGTGATGAGGGCTCCAGGAGATTTTCTTTTCATAGAGCATTTTGCAAATCTCTCTTTAAATTCTGCTTTTCAGCTCCACCGAAGTTGATGATATGATTAGAAAATCTACAAATCTGCTGCTGACCCGAACGCTGAGCAACTGTTTACAGAATGTCATCAAGAGGAAAAATGTCGGGCTGACGGAGGTAGGACGCAGCTTTGAGGAGACCTATTTCCAGGGCAGGGCAACAGAAGGGGGTTTGGTCCCTTGGAATTCCTTACAGCACCTTTAGAGATGCTGGTTTGGAGCATTGTTATAAAATATTTGGTTGGAAAACAATAACGGAACCACGCAGCGTTGCTGTACAAAGCAAAAAACACTTTATATTGTGGGAAAGCGGAAGCTTTTTTTGCTGTTGCTGTTAGCATTGCCCCTCTCGAATTTGTGGAGCATTGTATATCTCAATTAACGTATAAGGACTTCGAGGAGCACTGGAGAAGAGGCAGGTGGGAACTATGAAAGGATGGGGGAGCGGTCCCCATCTATAGGTGATGTTTGAGGCGGTTTCAGCATATCGCTACAGTATAAACTCTACATTGGTATTTTCTTTCCGCGATGGATACTTTTTTGTGCACAAAGTCATATTTCTGAAAAGCTTAATGCATGTAAATCATGGCTGTTTGGGAACGTGTGTGGTACCAGGGCGCAGTTTGGATACCTTAGTGGGACCCCCGTGTGCTGTTATTAAATGCGTAGGTATTAATACAGTTGCAGTTGTTTAATTGGCTGTACTGTAGAAATGTGTCCTGTTCTCTGGACACTGTAAATACCCTACGGAGGTGAGTTTTGGAGAGTTTAGTGCATTTACAGCAGTATGTATTTACACATGATGCTTCCTCAGCCCTTTATCTCTGGAATCTCTCTGCTCCCTGGGGGCAAATTCCTCTTCCCTCCTGCTCCTCCCAAGGCTCCCTCTGCAAATTGGAATGCAACACTATCCCTGCGCTGTCCTGCTTCCACTGCTCCGTGGAGCACAGGAATTAAAGGGCGTGTTGAAGAGTCCCAGATCATACTCAAGCATAGTCCTGGTGTCAAAAGTGATTGCAAAAGATATTTAAGTACCTTGTATAACTATCGCTTCCCAGATTTAATTTTTGCAAAAAGCGACACTGTCTGTTTCTGGGCATTCCAATGCCATCTTCTAAGCAGTGGACAAGGTAATGCAAGGCCCGGTACCAACCTTCCTGGTCTGTTAGCCTCTTTAATTTATTTTTCATTGCTGTTTTTGGGGGCTACCTCTTAGCAGTGGATGTTGAAGTTTGCTTATCGAGTCTGCTCCAAATAATCCTGGTGTTTTGAATAACCCTGATGTCCCTCAACAAGAGAGAGAGAGAAAGGACGCTACTATTTTTTTCCTTTGAATACCCCAACGAGAAGGTCTTACCCCTCTGAGTTGAAGAGAAGATCAGAGCTTGAAGGAGCCAGAGAGGAGCAGGAAAGCTCATAACAAGTGGTGGAAGAGAATCAAAGCAATCAGGGCCTTCAAGTTTGATAGCTGATCTGGACCAGTAAGTTGTGATGATCAGAGAAGAGGTTCAGGAGGAATTTCACACAGTTGGAAATATCTAATATTTAATTAACTTGAAACGATAGAAAAATATATCACGATCATGGTGTCAGGGCTATCTGACACGGGGAAATGCAAATGAGCTCTTGTTTGAAGGCAAAAATTGAAAACAGAATTAATCCAAGGAATTCAGAAACGAGAAGTCTCCCTGGTTTACCTGTGTAATACATTTCAGGGACCAAGTACAAAACGAGACGAGTTCAAATAGATCGTAATTTGATTTCTTAAAAAGAAAAACCTGACTGAAATCAAAGGAGTGTTGGCTGGAAGGGACCTCTGGAGGTATCTAGCCCAACCTCCCACTGGGACGAGCAATGATCATTGCTCACTTGGATCACGTCAACCGTAGCTTTCCCTACCCAGCTTTTAATTTCTCCAAAACATAGGTCCTACAGCTTCTCTGGGCACCCTGTTCCAGTTCTGCACTACCTTCCTAATGACTCTTTCCCTTTCTAATATCCAAGCTGAACTTCCCAAACTGTGGCCATTGCCCCTTCTCATGTCATCTGGCACTAACAAGAGTTGGGTGCTATAATCTTTATAGTGTTGCTTCAGTATTTAAGTGCCTGCAGCACTCAAATTGATGATTAATCCATCTCATTCAGAAGATCTGCGAGTGTTTCAAAATAATTTCTTCTGAGGAGGTAGCTGTGGACTGCTACACCATACTCCAGCAATTAAGTTATGTCAGTCCGGAGCATTACAATGCCTTCTGTGTCTGCAAGAGCACTGTTTTGGCATGATATCTGAGCTAGACTGAGTTATTTGGAAAGGTTTTGTTATAGCTTATGTTGCACCTTGAAAGTATTTACAGTAGTCTGCTCGGAAAAAAGGTATCTGCTTAAGGAATTAATGATGCTTCCAAGTCAGTGCTCCTAAAGTGGAAGCCTGGATTGGTTTGCTCTGGACTGTAAATGTTTGCGTTGGTTGACTTCAGCAGAGGCTTTTACTCTGTAGTTGCCTTTAATGTCCCGAAATAGTGCCATGTGAAGGCAGCTGAGAAGACAGCATTAAGAAAATTGCAGATAATGGGGGGTATGATAACCGAGAAGATACCAGGGTAAGATCTGCTGTTTACCCACACCACCCTCAGAAAAGTAAAACCTTGTGGTTTCTTTGTTAAATGCCTTAGCATGATGTTGTTGGGTGTCACTCAAGGTATGGGTTATTTAGGGTTCATTAGCAGACAGAATACTTGTGATTTGACATGGCATTTTTTTGTAAGCCTGTTGTATTTGAACTGCGCTGAAATGAGCCCTGACTGACAGCTGAATGCGGGAAAGTCATTTAAAAAAAAAATCTTTTGTGGTATTAGTGGCTGTCATGGGAAATGCTTTTCCCCCAAAATTATCTTTTATTTAAGTTTCTGATGTTGTTAAAGGAGGAGAGCCTTTGAGCGTGTAGCAAAGCTTAGTGTGTTTGTACAGCGTCAGCTTTTCGTGCCAGGAGTTCTTATAAATTGGCATCCATTAACCTGGCACGTCCCTGGCTTCGGGAGCACCATCTTTCAATCCTTTTTTTGCCTTTGCAGCTTGTACAGATTATTATAAATACGACCCATTTGGAGAAATCCTGCAAGTTCCTAGAGGAATTCATAACCAATATCACTAATGTACTTCCAGAAACTGTCCACACTACAAAACTCTACGGGACCACAACCTTCAAGGTGAGAAGGCTGGTAGATCCACCTCTGGGGACTTGCTGTTGGTGTTTGGATGGGAGAGTATCTGCTTTCAGAGCGTGTGTGTGGATGTGTGTATGTAGGGAGCTAAGCTGAGCTGAAAGGTAATTTTGTCATATTCTGGGAAGCTTACGCCATCGGACTAGCTTTTGGGTTTGTCCTTCGGAGCATTACTTCTGTCGAGATCGTGAGCCTTTGTAGCCCTAATTTACAGGCTGTGACTGCAGCACTTATTATCTAAAGGATTAAGCAACTTTTAAACAAAAGCCTGATTATTTTTTTTTAATGATTTTCATTTTGCTGTTTGAGCGCCGTACAGTGTTACACACGCCTGGCCATGAACGCAAGCTCTCCTCTTTCACCCAGGAGGAGAATAGATTTTCAGAACTTAAATTTCTGTATCTTCCCACTCCTTTTAGCATTATCCCCTAAAAATCAGGGCTGGCAGAAACTGCTAGAGGTCCCAGTCTTTAAATCTTTAAATCATAACCCAGGAGCGTCCACCCAGATACTTTATATGAAGTCTTAAGGCTATAATTGGGTCAACTGTGGGGTGTCCAAACTGTGTCCTGTGGCCCGAGAGCAGGAGATGGGAACAGTGCTGAGGACTCCAGCAATGGTAGGGAATTGGTTAGGTGAGGTTTGCCCTTGGGATAACTCAGCAGGAGACCAAGGCCCCATGTCCCCAGGGAAGTCCATTCGTTCTCCCTTCTGGCATCATCTACCTATTTGGCCTAAGGGTGAGTTTTCCTACCCTTCTTCTGGCAGGGAGGCTCCTCTGTGGCCCTCCTGCACCCCATACCTTCACACCTAGTTTGGTGGGCCTCAACCTTTTTCCATACATTCCTCTCCCATCTTTCTCTCTTCCATCCTGCACTAGATTTGTCCTCCTGGTCCCCTGGTTGCATCAGAGGCAGACACCAGCTTGATCTTCCCTACCACTGACCTGGTGGCACATGTCCCACCAGTCTGAGCTAACCTGAGGCTGTAGCAGCCATGTAGTTGCCTACAGGTGCTTTGTCTTGTGCTACCTTTAGGGCTAAAGGTTGGGTCAATGTTCATGTCCTGTTACTTGTGTAGCCTTGTGGTATGGAGACTCCATCCCATGTAATGCCGTCTTGTTTCCCAGGACGCCCGCCATGCTGCCGAGGAGGAGATTTACACTAATCTGAACCAGAAGATAGACCAGTTCTTGCAGCTGGCGGACTACGACTGGATGGCCATGGAGCCGGGCAGCAAGGCCAGCGACTACCTTGTGGATCTCATTGGCTTTCTACGCAGCACGTTTGCTGTGTTCACCCACCTCCCGGTAAGCCACCTCCACCGAATTCCTTTCTTTTTCCGTCTGGGGAGCGCACGGGCATCCGATGGTGCTGTTGAAACTAATGGTTGCTCAAGCTTTATGGAGTGTGATGGAAGTGGGGCCTTGTACCGTCAAGTGTTATGAAAGAACAAATCTATTTATAAAGCAAGCTATTTCGTGTGTTACCAGAAGTTGGGCTTCAGTGAGAGTCTCCCCAAGTATTTGCAAGTCTACTTATACATGAACGGGGGAAATATCGCAGTCCACCATGTAGAAGTAGGATCATAATTCACTAGCCACCTATATTTTAGATATATTAATTTTCAGCTTAATGGACATTCAAGATTTTTTCAAGAGATCGCAGTATAAGGATGCCTATTATTTGAACTGCATACACATTTCCAAATGTTTGTCAAGTCACTGGATGCCTTACATCAAAATAATGCTCTGTGTTGGAAGGCAGCATATGTTTCTTTCTTTTCTCTGCTGTCGAAAATATGCCTGTTACGCTGTTATTGTGATCAAGAAATGTATTTTATGTTGTTTTTTGCAGTTGGCTGAGTAGTGTCCCATTGAATAGGAAAAATATAATCATCAGGGAGTTTCATTTTTGCTCAAACAGCTTTTTTTCCTTTAAATAAGATTTGTTCTGAGCTATCTGGATTTATACTTATGAGTATCTTCAATCAGCAGGTATTTTGAAATAGCAAATCCACTGAGCACTGCATTTGTCCTAAAAGCAATTTCAGATCTTTCTTCTTTACTGGACTGTTACTTATTTGTTGTTAGCGGGTGCCCAGGATTACAGTACACCGGCACACACTGGGCACCTTTCACGAGCTTGGATATAAATAGGAAGAAAAGACTAATCGTACACAATGGCAGTTTCCTCAACTCCGTTCTGCTTGTTTATGTCGCTGTGATGGCTCTACTGGAAGGATGTTCAAGCACTCCAGAGCCATTTTAGGAGGTGTTACAGCCCCAAAACTTCGCAGTCTTCTGCATGGCTCATGTCTTTGGCCTTCCCTATCACAGCAGGAAGATTTGGTAACCAGATGGAAATGAGGACTGATCTGCTGTGGATGGAGAAGCCACCAAAAGAGAAGTGGAAGTGGCTTTCTCAGTTCTCTGGGAAAGTGCTGTTGAGGAGAAGGTGCTTTCTTGGCTCTGTTATCACTAGAACAAACTTCTAGATAAAGTGTTGCCTCCTGCGCAGAGAGGTTGGAAGGGCTTTTGTCTGTCTTCTTGTTCAGGCCAGGTTTATTGCCAAAATGTCCCGTCCGTTAGCAGCCCTGAGCAGCGTGGCTGGTAGCCATGCGAGCAGGCACGGGGCAGGTGCCGTCTGGAATCTGGAGGTGCTTGGAGATGGCTGGATTCCTCAACTGCTGGATTTCTCCTTAAAAAAGGAGATGTGGCTGCGCAGGGGTGGGTTATCACCTGGAGACCACTTCCACAAATCGTACTGGGAGTACTTACGCAAGCAAGTAATGGAGTTTGACAGGAAGATTGGTCTCTGCACCCGAGCGTGAAGTGTGGCTAGCAGGAGAGATGAGGATGGGGAGAGATGCCCACAATGATTTATGAGATGGACCTGGAGTGATTTATCTTCCTTAAATATTAATGTTTCCTTTTTGAGTGAGTCAGAATTGTTTTGGAGACTGGGAGGGCAGCTAATTGGTCTAAAAAGGACCGAGACAGATCGAAGCAGCCTTTTCTCTTCCAGAACTGGATTAGAAAGGACCCAGCTGAGAGGAAGGCTGTCTGCAGTTTGCCTTGGTGGAGGTGCTGGCTAACGTACTGGTGCTGTTCAACCAGCACACACGCAGCACCTTATCTTCAAAGCATTGCACGGCACTGATCCTCCCGACAGCCCTGTGAGATAGGGGAGGCAAGTCAATCAGATGCTGCGATCTGATTTATGAAGCTGTAGAATCTGGTTCAATGGTTTGTAGGAGACGTAGGTCTGGGATTTTTTTTTTATATCTATTGGAGTTTCTTCCTTTAGAGGAGTGCTATGAAGATGCCGTCACTGAGCATTGCTGATGGGTCCCTGCGTATCCTGCAGGCAACAGTGGGTGAGAGCGAGTCAGAAAAAAATCAGGGTACATCGTAAAGGCACCCAGCTCCTTTGGTGTCTCTGCTGGTTCGTCCTTGTAGGGTTCAAGGGCCTTTTTCCAGTGGCTTATTTAGAAACACATTAAAATTGCTGCACTTTGCTAAATGAAATGTAGGAGATAAGGTGTGTAGAAGCCCACATCTGCCTAAACCAATGCAGAAAAATGACAGAGATGTTTATGAAAGCACCAATTATGTGGGATGAGCTTCATTTGTGAAAGGAAAGGGTGAGAGGGGTTCAAGAGGGAAAGGAACTATCTCCAAAAAGGGTGAATTATAAGTAAAAGAGGATATTGCAGGATTGCTAGTGGCAAGGTAGAGCTGTTTCTATACTGCTGGTCTGAATCCAGCCCAAATAATTAGCATCATAGCGTTATGATCTAAGAGGAGTAGCTGCCCGGTTTGAAATGAGTTTGCAGCCTGTTCCAGCTATAAAATATAGGATTTCCACACTGCCAGTAGCTCACGAAGAAAAGCAAATGACTGTGCACCATCTTTGGAGAGTGGAGCATCTTCTTGTCCCTAGAAATGGCCTCCACACAACACCGTCCCTTCCTGTTCTCACGTCCTTTCCTGGTTTGGAAATGCCTCTGTCTTCCAGAGCAGGTACCTTCATGTTGACTGAATTTACACGATTTTAAAATAAGTCAGAAGCGCTCTCCTGCTATTTGAACTTGCAGCAGTTTTTAGGAGAGAAGAGTGGCAGTCTCAGGAGATGACTAAGTGGCAGGAGCCGAGCTACTCACCTGCCTTTTGTCACGGCAGTAATTACACTGAGAAAAACCTTCACCTGCTGATCAAAGAAACTCAGCCTGGGCATGTCAGCATGCGGTTACTGTGCTAAAATTACACCAACAAAAAGTGCTGTCCTGTAATAGAATGGAGCCGAAAGTCCTGAGCCTGCAAAAATGCAGGCGGCTCCTTAGCTTGACGGGTGTGAGTAATCCCATTGTCTCGGACGGGGCTGCTCATCTGCAGGAAACCTTTCTGGGGTCAAGGCTCCAGTTCGCCGCAAGGCAGATCAGATGGCCTTGAAGGGTCCGGTTGACTCAAGTCAACGTTTCGGAGAGGGGGTGAAGAGGAGCAGAGATGCTGAGCGAGCTAAAAGGCGACTCCAAGCCAAGATTTGAGCATTAGGTTTTGTGTTTCCCTTTTTGGATACACGAGGCTGAATTTTTCCTGTATTTATTAGGGTGAATCCCAGAAGGGTTGAGGTTGGAAGGGACCTCTGGAGGTCATGGAATCATAGAATAGTTTGGGTTGGTAGGGACCTCTAAAGGCCATCTAGTCCAGCCCCCCTGCCGTGGGCAGGGACATCTTCAACTAGATCAGGTTGCTCAGAGCCCCGTCCAACCTGACCTGGAATGTTTCCAGGGATGGGGCATCCACCACCTCTCTGGGCAAGCAGATCATCTGGTCCACCTCCCTGTTCAAGCAGGAAGAATAACCCAGACCAAAACTAGTCCTGGCTGGTGGAGTGGCATAAAGTGTCTCCACTTTCTCTAGCGTTCAAGCAGGAATTGCAATCCCTATTTTTTCCTTTAGAGCATGAGAGTAGACACTGTGGGAGATGGTGGAAACCACTTGGTATTAGGAATCCCTGGAATTGATTTGCTTTTTCCAGCTTTGCTTGGGGACGCCGAGCCCCCGGCTGCAAAGGGCATGCTGGTGGGTACAGCATGTGCCGGGGGGGAGGAAAAGTTCATGGTGAAGTTAACAGGGGTTTGGTGCATACCACTGCTGCATGAAATTTTCATGGTGGTGTAGGACCACAATTCGAAAATGCTCCGCTAAGTGCCCAAAATGTCTCAAAGCAAATAACACGCTGGTGGAAATCAAAGCATAATTAACATTTGGCTTCAAGGCTTCCCTCTTCCTGCGTTAAACCAGGGAGGGTCAGTTACTGCTGCTGCTGAGCTTATTAACATGGGATGCTCGGGCCTCATTTAAAAGAAAATACTTTTTTTTTTTAAGAAAAAAAAATACTTAAGCCCCCCCTGTATTTTAGGGAGGGAAAAAAAAAAAAGAGGTGGTTTCTGGTTTTCAGCAAGTAAAGGGCCATGGCCTCAAAAATTAACATTTCCAGCATAATACTTTTAAAAGAATGACTGAAAAAGCCTTTTGTCTTTGATGGCTGATTGTTGTTTTTATTTCTTGTTAGACAAGTTAATGTAAATCGCATTGACAGGGCTACTCCAAACACACTGATTTGTTGACATTAAGCTTCTCAAAGATGGAGGGTTGTGTCAACACCTACAGTGAACTGTCAGGTTAACAAAGCAAGGATGTTTTCTTGGGGGAGGGGAGCAGGGTTGGGGGAAGGGGGGGGGTGTTTTGTTTTTATTTTAAGTTTCCTTTAATCCTCTGTTAGTCTTGTATCTTGATAACCTCCTTTGGAAGGTAATCAGGGCAGGTCAAGAGGTGATGCTGACCCGGGAAGGGGAAGCAATCTTTCAGCGATTGAACAAGCTCTAACCTCTGCCGTCTTGAGTAGTTCAGCATGAACTCTCTGCAGAGGGGTTTTTGGGTTGTTTTTTTTTCCTTTTGTGCTTATTTTTGCCAGATGGCAGGCACAGATTTCAGCTGGAGCTGCGCGCACGCTGCGGCCACTCTGCCTGCAATGTTTTTGCCTTATTCACCGTATTGGCATCTCTTCTCGGTTGCAAATAAATACACCAGCCCCGGCAGCTCTTGCTTTGGTAGAAAGAGCTTTGGAAGTGTTTATTTTCTTTTTAAAGAGAACGATTACCTATGTTTTTATTTAAAAAGCCAAATCCCTCTGTACTATTTTAAAAGGCAAGGCACTGTGCATAGAAGTAAAATGCCTTGAACTTTGCACCAACCACAGCCTTGACCACGTTGGGAGGGACCAAAGTGGAATATAACTGTCATGAAAACATCATAAGAGCACCAAAGACACCTTCTTTAGATTTGCACGAGTCCTGTCTGTGCTTAGGTAACATCTCCTTGCCCTCGGAAGAGCTGAGCAAGTTTTGTTTGAGCTTATCCCTGCTGTCACTCACTAGGGTTTGACATCCATCACCTCCATCTTACAGGTGGGAGAGCTGAGGCACGTGGATGTTGACTTGCTGAGCATATTTAATAGCAATAAAACTGGTCTTGTGGTACTTTGATTTCTTCCTCATCCTCCTTAGACCAGGTTCAAAGAGCCCATATTTTGTTTTTTTAATACTCTGCCAACTGCCGAGCAGCCGGTGCCTTGGTTGGAGCATTGAGGGGTTGTAGGCACCTACGGGTGATGACCGATGTGTACGTCTCTGCCTTTCTTGCTGTTGCTTTGCTCTCTTCTGCATTTGACTTTAAACTCCCTGTGTTGTCCTCTGTAGGGGGATGTAGATGTCCACTCTACAATGTCGGTGAGTACAAGACTGCGTGTCGTGCGCGTTCAGTCTGCTCTGCTCGCACCTCAAATGTTAGAGGGTGAGTTGAACCAGAAAAGGTCCTTAGTCTGGGAAGGGAGGAAAGGAAAAAGACTGAGTAGAAGTTTAAATCAATAGGATAAATAAGAGACCAGGGGAAAGGGTTTCCTTCTGGACAGGTCGCCCACAAGCGTGCTGTTGCAGTAGCATTGCTAAATTGTTGCTTTTAGAGCACGTCGCATTTAACTGGCTCCTTTTATCCCCCATGCATCCCTAAATGTGCGGGGAATTAGGGGAAATGCCTGTTATTAGGGAAAGCATGATGGGATCTTCAACTTCTGCTTGAAAGAGAAAAGATCTTTGTAAAATCCCCCCTCACTCCCTGTATTTTGTTCAGACAAATCCCCCATGGGGATTTCAGCCTGACGTTCCTCCTGGTCTAAGTGCTCCGACCCGGGGCTTGGACCACTAAGCCTTCCCTCCGGCTAGAGTGGTAGAATTTTATCCAGAAAATAGTGTGGGTTCTTGACGTTTACTATCTCCCTATTTGGATTAGGGCAATTAGCACAAAGAAGGCAGAGGAGACCTTTCGGACCTGCCTTCTGGTTCAACAAACCCCTCTAATTGTTGTCATTTCTGCTTGTTTCATGTGCGGGAGAAAAATCTGCAGCACTTCCCCGGATAGATCGCAAACAAAGTGCTCTCGAGCTACCTTGTTTCCTCTGTTCCCATGTCTGCAAGCCAAGGCACGTACAAGCAGAGTGTGCCTCGTTTTTTTTGTCGGTGCAGCCCTGCTCGATGCGGTTGTGCGGTGTGAGATGCGGCCGTTGCGGAGGCGTAGCCTCTACCCCAGCTTCTGCTTTTCTGCCTTTAACCCCTGCTCTTCATTTTAATGCTAAGCTGCCATGGTAGTATTGATATTTCACGCCGCAGTTGGGTGCGTGTACCCCTTTTCCTGGAAACTGAGCATAGCTAAGCCTTGAGTATTTGCAGGCTCTGGGCACCTGGGGGTTTCTAAGTCAACATCGAGGTCTCAAATCAACGCCAGCTTCTGGAAAGAAAGAGCCTTGTTAAAGCATTTTGAGGCCAACTTCCATCAAAACCGTGGCTCGGTTGCTGGCAGGGCTGCGGGAGCTGCCTGCGCTGTCGGGGAGCAGGCAGGGATGCTTTGGGCATCCCCCTGCGGCCGCGGGTTTCCAGGAACGGTGCTGAATGTTGACCATCCTATGTGGTGTCCTTAGGGCGTACCCTAAGAGAGACAGATGCAGAAACTGGTATTGCCTCTGGCTTTTCAAGACTTTCAACCATTTAGAAGCCAGATGTATTTATTTCTTTAATTGAATCCAGTGCCTAGACAGCTATGGAGTCAGCTTCCTATGGAGAGGGGTGCATTAGTTTCATTAAGGTAAATCAATGAAAAATAATACCTGGAGGTCCCCTGGAAAGGGTCAGGAATGGAGTAATCCCTTTATATGGTGGGACTGTGCTAGCCTGCTCTCAGTTGGTTTTGTTTTTAACTGCAACGGATTCTAATTTTCCTTTTAACCCCTCTAATTTTCTGTTCTCTAGGTAGTTTGTATTAATTGGTGGAAATAAATCACTAATCTGTCTGTCTAAAAGAGATTGAAAAATAAAAATCTGATTGCACGAAATAGTAGGACAAAGGAGTAATTGTAACGGAGTTTAAAATGTCCGGTGGGAAGTAGTCGCGGCTAATCCTGGAAGTTTCTTGGTGTTGTAGATACAGACACACATAAAAAAAAGCAAGTTGCCTGGGATGCAGACATGGACAGGGCATGAGCAGTATCCAAAATCCTCCCTGTATGGTCCTCAGGGGGCTTCCTCTGCTCTCCAGAGATGATCCGAGTCTCTTGGGGGGTTGCTCGGACCAGCTTGCCCTGAAGGTTGGGCAAAATGCCCTTAAAACGGGGGTGCCTTGGCGGGGAGAAGATGGGCTGGTGTCTGGAGCAGCGCTTGCATGGCTGTGTGGTCCTGTGCTGCCCGCCTTGCTGCGGTCTGGTAGCTGTGCATTACTTTCCTGGTCTTCTCAAGTGTCTCCGAAATCCCAAATACTTCCCAAAATGAAGGGGTCGAAACAAGAACTAATGGTTGCTTTAAAGCAAGGAGCAAAGCATTCAAATACGGTGGATTTAGCTTTGTTGGCTGGGGAGAAGGCTGACCTCTGATTAAGCCAGGAGCGCTAGTTAACTCGAATCCGGGTGAGCCAAGTTATCTTGTAATTACATGGTTTCTTGTCTGCTTTCAGCACTTTGAAAATTAATTGAAGCTAAAATGCCCAGTCCCATAAATCCTTTAAACCAGGGTGTGCACGCTTCCCTAGGTATTGCTTCCCTTTGTGTAGTCACCTTGGCATGTTTGGCTTTGATTTTTATTTTACAAACTCAGATTTATAAAGCTATTTTATGCTTACTTTTGCATGCACGTACATACACAAAGAATCAGATGTGCGGTACGGGGAATTTGGCAGTCGAAAATGCATCCTCAGCGTAAGGAATCCAAACATGCCTGCTGCTTCCTGCGCCAGAGCCCCAGCCTATACCTTCCAAAAACCCTAACAGAAGTTAAAGCATGGGGGGTTTTGGGTTTTTTTTCCCCCTTTAGCAAATTTAAGCAAAACAATAGACTTTGCAATTTTATGCTTTCCTCTTATTTCATCCACTGGCAAGCTGAAATCTTGTAAGGCTTCTTTTAAGTTGTGAACGTGCGAAGGAACACCAGTGAACACCACATCTGCTTCCAAAAGCCCCCGGCTATCTTGCTTAACCTACCCACGGGAGGAGACCCACCTGCCCTAGAGGAGCCCAACCTGAAAGTGCAATGTCCTGTGGGGTCCCCGTGCAGAGGTCACTTGAATTGAGGTTGCACGGAGAAGCGTTGGGAGCTCGTGCCCATCATTCGGAGCCGATAGCTGCCTGAGCACGGTTGAGGGCTATTGGTATGGTTGAAGTGGCTGCAATTAAGGTCACGTCGTTTCGTGACCATCGTAGGGGTGCCTTTACACAGGGAGATGTTCTCCCTGGATCTTGTAGCCCAGGTTAGATGTAATAGCAAGAAAGAGAAGCGAAGCTTTTAAAAGTGCAGATCCTTACGGATTTCTCATGATGGCTGTGGTCTTTCTTCATTGTGTTTCACAAATGGCAATAAATAACGAGAGCCCGATGGGTTAATTAAAAAACAAGTAATTTCTACAGCTTTCACCATCCATGTTTTCTTCTCTGTTTTTCAACTATAACATCTAAATATTGAAAATGGAAATTTAATGTATGATGTAGTTTTTGGAAAAATGTAAAACGAGCTGAAGTTTCATACGCCGCTTGTGTTGGTCGCTCAGTATTCTCTCTGCTTGGAAAAAAAAAACCCTCCTGAATTGGGCGTTGATGGCTCATGGAGTGGAAATGGAGTGGGTGGTTTTTTGGGGTTTTTTTTGTTTTGAGCTCATCCTTTTTTCCAGTCTGTTCAACATCTGGGCCTTAGGTCATGTATTAGTTGCATTTCCAACAGGCGGCCGTACGTCATGGCAACACGCCGACCCTTCCTTCGGCATCTCGGCAAGCAGAAATCTGCGTAAACGGGGAATCTGGAGCATCCATGTGTGTGCGAAGGGTGAGAAACCCTTCGTGTCAGTGTGCCGGAGGGCTCTGCTGTGAGGATGAGTGCAGTGTGCTGTGCTCCAAGCCTCGAGATCTTTCCCCTTTTATTTATAACCTCAAATTATAATTATAAAATTATATAGCAAAAATGAAGCGATTCAGTTCACTCTCTTTAAGTCTTCCTACTGCCATAATTGGCAAATGCTTTGCCCTGATAAATCAGCAGAAAGAAGCGTGGTTCTAGCTCTTCATATGTTAGGGGGGGGGGGAAAAAAAAAAAAAAAAATAAATCTGTATTTAATCAACTTTTTGTTTCCAAAATGGCAGCTGCTTTGTATTTAATGGAAAATCAGGCTCTTCCCAATGGAAAGAATGTTATTCCCAAAGCGAATACAAAAGAAAATAAAAGCCACAAAAGAGGAGGATGAAATATGTCATTTATTTTTTTTCTTTTCCTCGTTCATTCCAGTTGTGGAGCCGCGCATGGAACATGGTCAGGCCACGGCTCTGGTTTGCGTCAAGTAACTCGAAAAGCCTCAGCCTGTGGACACGGGGACCAGGAGAGAGCCTCGCTCCACGTTAGGAGGCACAAATAGGACTGAGAAAAATTAGGGCTACTTCATGCTTCTTGTGTACATATAGAGACTCATTAACTGCAGGTTATTTATGGGTTTCATTCCTTTGCAGGCTGAGGCGCCTCCGCTGTTGGAGCACCACGTTTTTTCCTTGACGCCTCTTGTTGCAGGGTCTTGGTGTCTTTTTCAGAGGTGAATGATCTCTGTGGAGACCCAAGTGATGGGCACGGGAGGAGAAAATTGAGGAGCATCAGGCCCGTGCCTTGGCCAAGCCCGCCCAGCAGGTCCACGGGTCGCCATCCTCTCCCTGGGGTTGTAGTGAATCTACAGCACCGTCCTTTCTCGGTCTGCTGCTCGTGTTTGCTTGCAGTATTTGCTCTGAAACGCATTTAAATGTTGGAAAATTAATATTTAGTGCTGGGGGGAGGCTGCCAAACTGCCACCGTGGCAAGTCAAAAGCCCCAGGTTTGTACAGTTCGGTCAAGGGTGCAATTGGGTTTAGGGTTCCCTCCTGCAGCTGGGCCAGGGATGTTGAGTCACGCCGTGGAGATACCCTCTGGGGGAAGGAGAAACGGTTTGAGCTGTCGTGATGTGCTCTGTCCATGTATTTGGGGTTTTGTGCGGGTTTTGGTAGCTGCTTCCCTGCTGGCCCCTGCACCTCCCTGTCTCGTGATGCCGTTTCTCAGCGCAAGAAGGCGGCGCAGGCGTTTGCAGTGCAGCTCGTAACAGCGCAGAGTATTTAGAGAGCAGGTACTTTTTAATATTTTATTGTTTGAAAAAGAAGGTCACGTAAAGAAAGTGGAAAGCAGCA